TTGCCAGCACGGCAGCTGGAACTTGACAATTTACATCACCCAAGTGGCACAACAGCACCCATGATACTGTTTCTTTCATGTATTCCCCAATTCTGAGCCCCATCTGCCACCGCACACCCGGTACTGAGCAGGACCAGGCACTGGCCCAGTTAAAGACAACGTGTTCTTCCTGGACCGGGCTTGTGCTTTGGGGAGGCGTACGCCCACCTGTCCTTAAAACCCATCCTGCCCCTTTCACAAAGTTCATGCCAAAGGCAAATGACAAAGAGCAATCCTGTCGCTCGCTTGAAAGCCTAGTCTGATCCAAACAGACTCATTGGCATGCTGCATGACATACCAGTTCATCCCAGTGTAGTTCCACTTCTAATCAATTACATGACAGTACAGAGTTTCAGTTAAACAAGCACAGATTAATTAAGAGATTTTGCTGCTATAAGCATTATTTGGTGGAGGTAGGTGGGGAAAGACTGGGGAGGGTAAAGATAAAAGCACTTTAAAAGCATTTACTTTTCATTTCATACCTTTAATTAGCTGGATAACTCCAGGGACTATAATTATCAGAATTGCTACAAGCTTGCAAAAGGTAAGGAAAATCTGAATGCGAGCACTCCAGCTGACACTCGTGCTGTTCAGGACCATCACCAGCGCTGCAAGGGGAAAAAGAAAAGTCAGAAAGAAATCCGTGTGCCACTGAAAGCACTACAAAACTCTCTGCCAGCAGAGAGGCCGCCGCACGCACAATCGATCCAGATGCATTGAAGGAAACACATCCCGATAACCTTCTCCAGCTGCTGCCCTCCCGCTTCTCACATTCCCCTTCCAGACCCCACACGAAACACTTGAGCTGAGCCCCTCCATCTCTCCTCTCCGTTCCCTGCCTGGCTCCCTCCGCACCAAATTACAGCTTCGTTTATCCAGAATCGTTAGCTGTTGATAGGCAATGGGCTGGCAGGACCCTGCCTTGGGTGAAAGAAATTAATTGCTCAACCCTTGTCACTCCAGATTTCTGAATCAGTGCCAGTTTGAGTAGAGATTTGCATTTTCAAAGAACAATTAACAATTAATAATCATATTAAACTTTGTCACCCCCATTTAAGCCCGGTATAAATTTGTCACCCACTACCTTTTTTACCCCTGCTCCTCTTTTTCACTCTTTCTCCTCCCTTATCACCATACCACCAGAAGTGCAGGAGGGCCAAGAGTGCAAGGCATATTCCCATCCTTGCTGGGAATTGGTGAAGAAACAGAGACTTTTACTTCTTGAAAACAAAGCCCAGGTCTGTGCCTCACCAACTCTTAGAGAGACAGGTGAGAACAGCTTTTACGTCCTGCCTGCTTGGCTTGCATCTCCTGCTGGGTCAGGGAGGGCATCTTCTGGCCTTTGCTATGGCCCTGGCTGACAGAAGGACATCAGGTTACTTATCATTTGAGTACCAGTTATTCTAGCTTATTGAAACTATGCTGGCAAAGCAGAATCAATAAAGGAGTTTAGATATTTAAAAAACTAATAATTTACCTAAAGAACAGAAAATGTGGGTCATTTTGCTAGATAATTAGTCCCTTTCCCACTCTGCTACAGGAAAAGCCAAATGTAGTCAAAGAAGGCTGCTCACTCCTCTTGCTTGCCATAGTATGAACCTAATGAATTAGCTCCCATCACAGTCCTCCCGTACTTCAAACTCTCTCAAGAGCACCAGTTTGTCTGTGTCATCTGCCATATCACACGTCTTGGGATGCATAAAAGCACAAGTTGCTATCTCCACCAGATTCTGGGAGCTGGTTCGCACGAGCTAGCATTGTACGAGCTTTCTGGCAGCAAAACCCACTGATTTATCCCAAGTCTTTTATACAGATGTTCACCTGCAAGGCCAAAAAATATATCATAAAAATATCTTCTCAGTTTAAGCCAAAAGTAATTTTGGTTTAACTGAAAAGGGAGAAAATTCCAAGTAATCTGGATTCCAATGTAATTTTTAGATATTTGTAATAAAATAAAAATTCCAGGAAAAAAAAGTTTTTTCTGGAATTTTTATTTGGGAAAGAGAGGGCTCATTCTCAAATGAACATAAATTCATTCATTCACACCAAGGTCAACATAAATTTGCAACGTCACTTAATGTGAATTTTTCACCGAAAAGATCTTAAAGGCCAAAATGTTTTTTCAGTTCTGTATTTCACCATATTTCAGAACTGACGTGTTCTTTTCTAAGTCACAAAGAAATCATTTGGACTTTTGCAAAGTATTGCTTGAGATCCAAATACTTATTTTTTGCTTTATTACCTCCGTGTATACCTATATTTGGCAGGAAACAGAAAATCCCAGGGGCCTGATTCGTTATGCTATTGTCCCAATACTACGCTGACATATCTTCACTTGTTTAAATGTTGAAAGATCCCTTTACATTGCTGCTGAATATGAGTGCTGATTGAGGCTTCCCCTCTTTTCCTAGGGCTTAATTACCAGGAAGGTTAACAACTGTCATTTAAGCACAATGTATTTAAAATATTAATTTGACCAACAGTGCTTCAGTTACAAAAAAAAAAAAAAAAAAAAAAAATCCAGTGCCATAAACAAGCACCGGCTTATTTCAAATTTCCTAGAAAGGTCAGGATATTGTACTTTTCTTTCCCAGAAGACAAAGCTCAGGCAGGGACCAGGCCACAAGAAAACGCGTAAGAAAGTATCTGCAGTTTGACAATCAGCTTATTCAGAGTTCAAGCTAACTGCAGCAATCGGTCTGTTACCTTACACAGGTCAGAATAGGTAACACAAGCATCCTCCCTGCGGAGAGCCCTCCTCGAGGTTTTCTAATGCATCAGTTTCACCTTCCTTATTCACATACGGGAACATCACTGGATGGCAAACGAGTACTAACACTACCATCAACTCACAGGGAAGATCAGAATCTTCCTTGGGGCAGTCCACACCAATCACAAGCCCCAAATCTGTATAAGGGCTACACTGGCTTGAAAGAAAAAAAAATGCAGGCTGGTATTTTCATGTTAAAACTTTCTCCATCCCCAGCTGTGAGTTCAAGTCAGCCAAATGTTTCATCTGAGGCTAACCATATAGTGAAAGCGAAAGGGCACTGCAAGGACCTTCATTTAATCAGGAAGCCGAAGAGATGCTACACCTGCAGTCAGTCCAGTGCACGTGCCATTAGTTTTGATGGGCCTCTATAAGGTCAAGTCCTTTGCAGAGTTGGACGACTGCACAAATCTAGTAGTTCAGGTTGCAGGGCTGAGACTTAAGTTCTTAGAAAATTTGAGACTAATTTAGCGTTCTTTGGAATTTCATTTTATTGGACTTAGTAGGCTATAAGAATTTATAGTCGTCTTATAATATTTAGTCTTAGCAGTTCTATATGCGTAACAGCTTTCTAGGGATGTGAGCTTATACTGCTGTCACGTATCAGCACCATACCAGTGTGTGAGCAACCAGACAGTGAAAGGCAACGGAGGAGTAACAAAGAAGGCTGCTAAAGAGCAGGAAAGAATATGGCAACCGTGCCAGGGTTCAACAAGGAAATTATATCTTGGGACTACGCTCATTGTTCAACATCTCTCTTCTATGAATAGGGCCTTATGGAGATACTTCAAGAAACTGATTGTAGATGCGTTGATACAGGATCACAGCAAAGATCAGAACGAAGCAGCAACTCCCCAGATAAAAGGACACTGAAAGGAGGACTCATCTCTAACTTTGCTAAAAGTCAGGCATCTAGTGTGGCTGCATCCTCAATGAAGAGACAGTCATCTCCAGAGGATGAGTAACAACACCTCTTTCAGATGTTTATCTCAGATGAGACGGGTTGCTTTCAGGAAGTGTGTGTCTCTCTGTTTCTTCACTAACTCGATGAGGAGCTGAGACAATTACCTCAAACTAAACACGTAACTAGAAGCGAGATGAATCCTAACTGAGGGGAGTATGGAGGGAGAACAAAATAGGGTTCATGAACAATCAGACACAATGGTAACATCGATCACGTCTCTTTTCACAATCTCTTTCCTTCACACAGCCACAGCTATAGATGGATAACAAAATCTAATGGGAGAAGCAGCAGTAAGCATTACATCCTGGCCTACTTTTCAAGAATATATGTACCATTGCCTCAGCAGGAGACCAAGGAAACTGCCCTCCCCTAACTTGTCAGGCTTTTAGGGTCAAGGCATTCACACAAAGCCAAAAATACCCTCAATTTGCAGATCCTAATGCGTCAATTAAAACAGAGTCACAGGAGGCACAAAAGCACCCATCGGAGCGGCTTTTGCTATCCCTGCAAGCCAAGAGATGTCTTAATTTAAACTGCTTGTCTGAAAACTGTCAGTGACAAAAAAAAAGTGATATCTGTAACATCTGCCATGATGGAAAAGAAAAATAAAATCAACGAACTACAGACTCACATACACACCAAATTTATGCCAATAAAGTTTTGGGCTGGAGTATTTGTCAGCAAGCAGTGACAGATCTGTACCGGTGACCTTGGTTTTCAAGCATAATATTGCTTCTAACAGCCATAGTTTGGGGTATTTGATGGTTTTTAGCAGACCTCCAAAAAAGGAGGAAGTTATACATTATTGTAGCTTAAATTCCCAAAATATGTATCAATGACAGTAAAAACTATAAAAACAGGTGCGAGTTGGTAACCTGCTTTCGATCTCACGAGTTTTAATAGCTGAAATCTGTTTATCTGCTTTCTGATACGGAGGCCAAGTGAAAAGATTAGAACAGGCTCAGCTAAGACTGCGTTATCTGTTCAGGTTACATATTGATAATACAGTTCAATACCTTTGCACAGCACAATTTATCCCTTCGTGTTACCAATATATTTAAGCTTATCGTTAGGAGAAGAATTCAAAGATACAAATAAAGCAAATTAAGAATATCACCATGCTTTGCAGTGGTGATAGGCATGGTGACAGGATGTTTCTTCATTGGAAGAAGCAATAAATATGGAGCAGTCTACCAGCTTTCACTTAAAGAGGGAAATTGCTAACTCTCTCTTCTAAAAAGACTGTCTTCGGCATCAGAACAGAAGTGAACAGCATCCCTTCTGCTTTTTGTCCTGGGGCTGTTGTGTCCAACGCAAGCAAAGCTGGGCATTTAGAAGGCTTCATCTCCGTTTGCATTTTCTTTAGCTGTTCTGCCTTATGCTGGGGCACATCTAGGTTCTCTCTCCTCTTCCTGGCCACTTATTTTCATAAGAATTATAGTACTTGGACATCTTTGAGATGTCCGCTCTTCTCTCAAGTACAGATAAAAAAGTTAATGGCAGATGACAGACAGACCGAGATAAGCATATCCAGTATTTGTCTAGGTTTCTCTTCTTGTGGAGATTCACTCGAGAAATACCAAGGGAACAAAAGTGATTTCTAAGTTTGAAAGGAACAGACAGCCTTTTCTCCAGAGGTTCAGTAAACTGGGGTATCTGAAGAGAACCTCCACACAAGCATCCTTCTTCCTAATGAGCCACTAAAATGTTCTGACTTTTTGGTTGGTTGTTTTTATTTAAAAAAAAAAAAAGTTTGTTTAAAAAATGAAAGCACCATATTGTGGAATAGAAAATTTTCTTCTACAGATTGCTTAAAATTCCTCAGAACAGATGGGATTTCAAGGGGAATTTTGTGGCCAACACATACTTTTTTCCTCTAAATAATAAACAAAGAATTAGGTTTATTTTTAAAGGTCACCATCTCCAGTAGTGCCATTTTAGCTCTCATCTGATCTACATCTTCTCTGCAGCACCGTTGTTCCTTTGTCACTGCAGAGGCACCAAGGTGTAACGGTGGGAGCAGAATGGGCTGTAGCCCCTCTACAGGAAGTCCTTGTTTGCAGCTCATAGAGGAGTAATAGTATTTGCCACTCCCCATCATAATCCTGGTTGCATCCATCTCGGGCAACCTTTTAGTAATAGGCTTAAATTGCAGAGGTTTAGGTGGGGAAAAAAAAATAAATTAGAAAAGCTGTCTTGTGACAAGGATAGAAAAAAACCCTGGGCTACAGTATTAGGTGAGGCTTTAGCAACTCCCTCACTGGAGGTTTTAAGAGCAGTTTAGACAAACATCTGTCAGAAATTGTTTAGATACGCTGATTGTGTTTGAGGGCAGGGGATCACCTGGAGATTTTTCAAAATCTTTTCCTGCCCTTTCTAGTATGATCAGAAATGACAAGGTAAAACTACAGAACAAAGGCTCACTCAAGGACAGTGTTTAATGGTGCTTCCCACGGCCTTTCCCCTGCGCAATAAGGACAGCGATGCAGTGAGCGCTCTGTCAGCAGGCACAGGAGGGAGAAGGGACCAGGAGTGAGTAAGAAGACAAAAGGCATCTCAATTCACTTCCTGATTAGCTTAGAATTTTCAGTGGAAGCAAAGGCTACCTTTGGCACTGTTAAATTGGATTATAAGATCTTCGGGGCTGCAATGTGTCTGTTCAGCTCAACAACACCTCAATCTTACCTATCACTCGGCCTACATGCAGAATACAAAACATTCATAAAAATTACCACCTCAATTCTTGCTGTACAAGAATAACAGTCACACACTCCGGGATCCTTAAGTGCAGCATATGATCAAAAACTACTACAAATGAAACTCCACTGCAGAGCATACTGCAAAGAACAAAGACAACAGCCTCTGCCTGACATGTCGCTGTTTTCCTCAGCGTTGTCCCATTCACCACGACAAACTTTTTTACAAGAATCCCTTCTTTTGGTGAAACGACAGCTCAGCCTACCTGTGCCGTACAGACCCACGCTCACTGTACAGAGCAGTCTGCTGTGAACTCTTCTCTCCCTTTAGGCTGCAATTATTTCAGCATAACTCCACCCCCCTCGCAATGCTACTTCTTTGTTTAATTACTTTGCAAAGCCCTGGCTTATCACACAGATTTTCAATTAAATTAAAAGCAATAAAAACCTATTTCAAATTGTTCACTTATTGTGTTCGAATCACACACACTTAACAAAACGCTTTGATGGAGTCCTCACTTAACATTCCTGCCGTCTCAGTGACCTTGAAGTTACTGAACATCTGTTTCACCCTGATCTTGCATTGAAATATTTTAGACAGATGTAGCTATAAAAAGTCATTGACCTCAAAATTCAAGCCCTTAATTCAATTATTCCTATGAAACCTATAGTTTGTGCATAATTAAGTTAGAAAGAAATGTGGTCACATAGTGATTTTTTTTTTTTTTTTTAACACTCCTGGCAGAAGGGAAAGCTTATCAAGAGAGCTCCCACAAAAAGCCACAGTAACCTGGAGACTGGAAATTTCAATGTCAATTGAACTCCCTAGCCCAAAGAAAGAAAAGTCATCTGAACCTATTATTGTGCAAAACTGAAGGAGTCTCCTGTGTGCCTTTGATCATTTTGCATGTCTTAATTCCTTTTTCCAGTCCCTTTGTTTCCGATATGTGCACTGACCAGATTGAAAGGAACGATCTGTTACTAATTACTCAGGTCTGCTCCACACTCTCCTCCCAGCACAGCTGGGAGCCTGTACACGTGTGCAAGGAGCATCATCACCAGTGACCAGACAGAACTGGAAACAAACCTCTTCTAGAGGGACAGGCACACTGCTCCAGAGTCCCATTCGCATCAGGATTTGTGCCTTCCCATTTCACGCAGCCTCCCATTCCAGCCCAGGTATGCTGTAAAGCTCCTGGTCTCAGGGTAGGCTCCCTCCTTCCACTGGCAATTATCCCTTCTCTGTAATCCTAAATGGTCCCTTTTACACAAAATGCAAAGTTAGCAAGAGTAGGACAAGCTGCTGGTACCAGACATGTGTTTGCACCAAACTGGACACCCTGCTCCCAAAGTCATCGGTTGGGTTCCTGCTTCCTGAACTGCAAATGCCTCAATAGGTTTTATTGCTATGAAGGACAGAGTGGGACCAGGGAAGATGATCTCATGTTGCCTGTGCTCCACTCGAGAGAACTACATTTCTTCATGGCATCATACTTGGCACTCAATGGCCTCCTAAAACTGAGGTAGAGCACAGCACTTAAAATCAGGTAATCATTCTTCTGTATTTCTGGCACTGGTTCACCATCTCTTAGGGACTGAAATTGCCTCCACAGAAGTAATGAGAGTTCTACCATTAATTCAAGTGACAACAGAATCAGCCTTGGCAACAGATTTTCCCCTGCCATTAATAAAGTCTGCTATTCTTTTTACTATGTATGTTCACAAACACACATAGCCAGGCAAAAAGTCACGCTGACGCCCTTGGCACTGTCATTTTGTAATGATTCACATCAAACAACTACCTGTTCAGCGTGCAATTACTTCACCCCTGCCCCACCGCCACCCCCCCCCATCATCTTTATCCGTCCCTGAAACCTAAAATTGGATACTTACTGATGCCAACAGCTGTAATAAGTTTAATCGCAAGTTCTGGGATTTCACACTGCATAAAGAAAGGTTCCAAAATGTAGCGTCCAAATGCCAACGATATCACAGCTGTGGCAGCAGGGCTAGAATAAAAACAACAACAGCAAAAATCACAAAATTAATCTGCAATAGTATATAGGTAATATTCTCATGGGATCATGCTGTAACTTTACTACCACAGAACTGTGAACTGTATTTAATTTTGGTGCCTGCTTGTAACTATGCTGCCACGCACCATGATTTCTGAGTGCAGCAGGAAACCACGAGCAAGTTCAGCTTTGTTCAAGCAGTTCTGATCTTGACAGCAACCCCTCTTACCAGGATTGGTTTTACAACTTCCACGTTGGGAAGCAGCCGTAAACAGGAAGGAAAGGTATCAACAGAAATCTTCATTCACTCGCTTGAAGCAAACATAGCGAGAATTAGATTACATGGGCAAAACCTTGCATAAAAGTCGTTGAGGACTGAATTTTAGTGGCCAGGTATATCTCATCCCTCAGAGACACAAGTGAATTAATTTCAATCAAGCTGAGAATTCTGCTTTACTAAGCATCCATTTAGGCTGTTACTAAAATCTGACACAATGCAAAAAATGAATGAAAATGGAATTTCCTAAAACGTAAGCAGAACTTGACTAAAAACTTCCTAGCACTGCAAGTGAGAGTAAAAATCCTCAAAGCACAGAAAGCGCCTACCATGAAACAGAGAAATATGAAGAAAGGCAGGCATGCAGTTGTTGCATTTACAAAATTGAAATATTCAGAATATTCGTACAGCCTTTCTCTTTGAGAAAAGCTGAATGTTTTCCAGACGCCTTAGCACTGACACATATTAACAGCAAGTTACCCTGTGCCTTGTATCAGACACTGTCTGAATATTACAGTTCTTGTGATCTGTTCAAATTTGATTTGGGAGGACACTTTCAGTCTTCTTAGGACATTTGTGCTTCATCACGTGGTCACACACCATAGGGTCAAAAGGGCACGATGCTGCCTCAAAGGATTTTTGAGTTAAACAAGAGTCCAGGCAAACTTCCTGTGGAAAAATTCTACATTTAATAAAATATTGCCTCACCTTGCAGAATTTTAGTAAGAATAAAGTTGCTAAAAATGTTGTGGAATAGCATAAAAATTCTGGAAAGACGTTATTATTCTTCATGGAATGATAAGGGAATCTTCCACCCTTGAAATAAAACCCACTTTCTTAGCGTTATGACTCAACCAAAAGGTCACACATTGCATTGGACCAAACTGCAGACCAGCAAAGGACAGAAACATCTTTCTCAGAAAGTTTCTGTGTGGACAGGTGAGGTCTGGTGCTTGTGCAGTCCCCACGCACAAGGACGGGTCTTTTCACTGGCCAACAATTGGCTTTGCAACTTTTGCCTTTGCTCCCAGACCAAACGTCCTCTGTGCTGGACTTATACAGACATTTACTGACTTTACCTCCGTGAAATAGTTCTAATTTACACGAGAAGTTTACCAGGCTTCCGGCTTTTAAACATGGCAGCTGCCAACAGTAGTTTGAAGTGTTCTAGACCCGATGAAAGATCAGATTTTTGGAGCTTTCCCAGACTTTCTTTCTCAGTCCTAGCTCCTTATTCCAGAACTTGGATTTTTCCCCTCTCATTTTAAGAAAAGTCTTTTTAACGAGGCAGTCGCTGCTATTCACACCACTATGTTTTTAAAAACATAGCTCCTAAATTATACCTCTAATAAACAGCTGTGTGTCTCCTACTCCCCGGTTTGGCAGGAGATGTTGCTGGGCAGCGCAGTCGATCGATGGAGGTGGAAGCTGAAGGAACAGGGAATTGATTGCGGTCAATTCCTTTTGACTGCAGTCCTGAAGACAGACCTGCAGCCCCCTAACAACTGCATGTTCAGGAGCAGAAAAGCGCATTAGCAGCTTTCACTGAAGGGCGAGGAGCACAAAAAGCCACCGGGAAAGGAGCAGGGAGAGTGCCCCAGCACATACCGCAGGTGAGTGAGTCACTTGGCAGGGCACTCTCACCCAACCTGTGCTTAGCAACCACGGAAGTTGAGCACTACAGACAACATGTTCACACAGTTGTCTTCGCTTGTTTGAAAACTGCCTGCTTTTTTTTTTTTTTTTTTTTTTTAAGGTATGTACTATACCGACAACCTGACTTTTGGGGAGAAAAAAAGTTCCTACTTGTACTAGATGAGGAGCAGCAGAGTGTAAGGCACATCTAAACAGCAGGTGATACTGGCCCGGTTTAATCAGTATGTGGGCAGAGTTTAAGTGTGTCCTAGACAGTAAAATAGTGGCTGAAAAGATATACGAGAGCAGGAAATGTTTGTTTTTGTTGCGGCTGCTCCACCAGCCCTCGGGTGTGATAATCCTGCAATCTTTCAGAGGAAAGAAAGGCCTCGCTGAGAAGTGTGTGTGCAACTTCATCTATTGAAAAAAAAATCTAGATACATATTAGGTCTCATCTTCTTTGATAGCAGCAGCCAATTAGTTTACCAATCCAGGAGCTGGATATAAAACACTACACAGTTTCGGCAGCGCTGCTCTGATCATCACAAGTTATAACAAGTACGTCTCCCTCGCTGCCTCTCAGATTTGATGATTAAAGAATCCACTGATGTTCCTTCCCATGCAAGATGATTATTTTCTGGGTGTGGGGCAGATCACAATGACTAAGAGTGTTTTCATGACACTCCTGGGACACTGTCATGCGTATGAAAAACAATAATCTTGAGAAGAGAAGAATTTATGAAGCCTGGTTTCTGGTGGGGATTTGTGCCTAGGTTAATAAGGTCTCCCTGCCTAGTAAGGTGCAGGTTGAGAGCGAGATTTCTAACACTCTTCTGTCAATTCTGTGATGTGCAATGATATAGCTACCTTCACAGCACTGTGCTTCTCACAGTGAAAACACAGGTCTGCTTCCTCTGTCTGGTTTTCCTTGTTGGCAAAAAGTTCATACAGTTAAGATATCTGCTCTTTCATCACGTTTGATGAAAATTATGCAGTTAATTCAAAGGTTATGTATGGGTGGGGAGGATGTAAGGGACCATCTGACATACACAATGATTTCCTCCGGAAACAAGATGAGGATTTACGGTCTCATAATGACTCAGCACTGTCAGGGCTTTTAAACTCAAATGTCTAGGTTGGAACTTGTCAATATTATGTAAACATAGTTGTGGGTTGAAATGAAGCTTGTGCTTTTGTGACTAATTTGCTGATTGCCGAAGAGAGGGGAAAGGAGTGCTCGCTAGCCTGAGGCAGGAATGGAGCATTCCCAAAGTTATTTTGCATAAGTGAGTTGCCCTGTTCTACATGTAACAAGCTCTCCAGCCTCAGCAATACTGTAAAAAAAAAATAAATAATATATATTAAAAAATAGAAATTCAAAGGGCCACGTTTGAGTTTGAGAGAAAGATCTATTTCTGTTATGAAAACTTATTTGATACGATTCAGTGATTCAGCATCCTCATATTGTGATTCACGTATACAATGTCAAGGGTTGCATGAGTCACAGGCTTACACACCAAAACAATACTTTGGATATTTTAGATATGTAAGGACTTAATATTGCTTTATTTGGCCAGTTAGTGCTTTTCATAGTAATCAAGAGTTAAGTTCTCCAACACCCCACAAAAACAAAAAATGGGGACCTGAATTTACATATAAAGAATACATGCTGTCCCCAAATCTGAAAACTGCTGGACAGGAGATTCACCAAGAGTTATTCCTGTATCCACAAACAACTGCAACCGCTCCAAAAGCTAGTGCCAAGACTGAGAAAACGTAAAGGTGACTTCCCTCTTCCACTGTACTATACATAGGCATGGGTATTAGCATTATTAGTGACATTAATGGATACAGTAAGCTTAGCAAAATTAAAGCAAGTAGCTGAATTTGTGTGGCAGGCAGTTTTCTTCGAATCATTTTTTCCCCTCATACATGTACATATGTCTTCTTGAACGTTTCAATGCTGACGAGCAAAACAGCATTGTTAAATTCTCCAAAGCAACCATACTAAAAGAACACGGTTCATCAATCAAGATAAATTTGATTTGCTTTGTCCATTATGTATTGGAGATTTTTCTTTATGGTCGAAAAGTGTATTGCCATCAGAAAAGAAACACAGAAAAGCCACGATACACTTACCGAATGATGAGTAATTCAACCCAGACTCTCACAAAAGCAGGTAACGGGCCAAAGGCTTCCAGAATATAAGTGTAGTGACCACCAGATTTCTTAATGCACGTTCCTAATTCAGCATAGCAGAGGGCACCTGAGAGAATTAAACTGGCATCACAAGAGATATCCAGAAATATCTTTCAAAACATATGTAAGCTAAACAACGGAGCTGCTGTGGTATCACAACTATTTTTGGTATACTTTCATCGTTTTTCCCAAGCAAATTTGTGAATTTTAATTCATTCAGCTAGACTTGCAGGTAACCAAACGTATATATATTCAGTTACATTGACGTGTAAAGCCCCTGAACAAACTGTTTGCTATCACCACGCTGCATTACTCATCCGTATCTCACGAAAAGGGACAATAAAACGCTGTGTCACGCCAGCTAGCCTGGCTCCCCAGCCCGCCTGACTGCACTGCTAAGTGAAAGCCTTCTGACACACTTGCTTGTTATCAAACAATGATCAGCTCCTTTCAGTCTGGGAGATGCCTGGCTCAGCCTCTGAAGAAAAGCCTGAAAACTGTATTGCCCCTCCTTAGCCAAAGGCAAAGCAATGGACCAGCCAAAATATGGAGGCAGGAATTGCAGATTAAGATTTTCCTCAATAGTACTCCCAATGTCTTATATACAAAATTCAGGGGATGGCTTAGCCCTGGCTTTTCAACACTGGTGCAGTGTTGTTGGGTACTGCTAATGCAATGAAAGATCAATTCACTTCTGCATTGCTTTAAATACAGACCACTTCACGTTTTCATAACAGGAGGCTCGCTTCATCCTTTGGTGCATTTACATTGACTAAAATAAAACCTAAATCATCATCGCGTTGCTGCATTAGTTCATGCAGAAGTGGTTCAGGCCCCTTTGGAGCAAGTGCTAGCGGTGTTCCCAGCAAGCAGCAGCTCTCCGAGAGCTCCCTGAGGCTGCTGCTGGCACATCACATAGCCTCTGCCACTATGGAGCAGGCAACAGCACACTGCAGCTACAAGGATCTGCATGAAGCCTTCTTCACCCATGCACCAACTGCTACTGTTGCTTAATGAGCCATCATCCAGGCCACAAAGCCCGCGGATTCTCAGCTTCATGGGTGAACTGCACGAGTAGAGAAGTGTAGCACGTCCAACAAATGCAGGCAGCCCTTTTAGTGGAGTCTGAGAAGGCAGGTGATAACAGCAATAAAGTCTGTAAACACTGCATCACATGCAGTTAAGGCCAGCAACATATATGAACTCATTTTGGCTCTGCTCCCTGTGTGCTTTTATGCTATGGCACTTGAAGATGAAAACTACAGTTGTCAAAACCACACAACGCTTACCAGTCCATTAAAGCCATACCATGTTATGATAAATTCCATCCTTGTTCATTTGCTTTGTTTGGGGCTTTGCAAATACATGGCAGCTTTTATTTGTTATTCTTCAGCTTACCTGAAAACGTACTTAAAGGAATTCTTACAGCCACATTAAAAAAAAAAGCAAACAAAAAAAAGAGGCTATGGATGGGTTTTGTCTTGCCAGCCTCTTCTGTTGAGGTTTAGGATGAAATGAAATTGTGTTTCAATACATGTTATACACACGGCCTCAGTAAGACCTTAAGTGATCTTTACGTGTGATTTTACCATAATTAAGTCATGCAGGGAATTAAAAGCACCCATGGCATAAAAAAATATGGAAAAAAACCCCAAACCTGTAACAGGTCCATTCAGAGAAAGAGATAGTATCTTTTGCTGGGCCAAATTACACAGTTCTTCATATCTTGAGATTGGAAAATGACCTAGAAAATCCATCTCATAAAAGAGAGGTGTTTTTTTTTTTTGGTACAGACTTTACTTCACAGCCAGAAAATTGCTACTATTAAAGCCAAAAACGCAACACTTAAGCAAAGTCTGTTTTGACTAAATCCAAAGACCAAGGTCTTCTGACAGGGTTACAAGTTGTATCTGAGGTCTTTCTTTATGGGGAAATTTTGGTTACAGGCAGGACTTCCACATTTGTACAACGGATTATGCTACACATTGTACCAATACATTTAACATTTGACCTAAACGGGTCCTAACTTGCTTGCACTATCTCTTAGGCTTTTGTGGGCTTAGCCTGTAAACAGTCTGTGTTTCTTTTAAGCTCAAAGCCAATTTACACAGGGTGGCATTTGCATGTTCCACCTACTAAGCAGACACGTGTTAGTCCATGTTCGTCCTCCCTATCTCCTGCCAGAAAACAAGTCGTTTCTGTTCTAAATAAAGCCAATATTCATGTTAGTTCTTCAGCTTCTTTAAGATTAACTCATTAAGAAGGTCAACAGACCCTCTGTCCCACAAAGGCCAGGGTGGGGTTTTCCGCTCTGAACAGGGGCTTTGTGTACAGAACAAACGATCTGGCATTCTTCAGAATTTAATACATTTCAGAAATACACAAAAATTAGTAAAAACTGTCACGACAGGCAGGCCAGCAGCAAAGCTCGCATTACAAATTTGTTTCCACCCCGCTGTTTTTTGCAGCTCAATCTTTCAAAGCCACATTGTGAGTGAGGAACGAAGTAAAGAGCAGTAACACAAGACTGGGGAGTGGGGTCATTAGTGTTATTATTTTGCTTCTTTTCATGCCGATACAGCTTATGTCCAGCGGGAATTATTCCTCTCAGTCCTTGCTCTAGCCTTTAGGAAACTGAGTCGAGCTGTCTAAACATTTCGCCAGTGCTCGAGCAGAGTGACCCGCGTGCCCAGCTGCCGGGGGCCTTACAAGCGAGCCATAAACTACCTCTCACAGTCAGAAGAAAAACATTATATACATGGCACATTGTAGGGCATAAAATGGCCATTTACTTTTCCTGTTCCTTTAGGGACCCATACGAAACAATAATTTACGCTGCCAATCTTTGCCGACCAGGCACCGGGGGGGCAGGTGTTGCCCACCTCCGCACCCTCCATGCAACCGATCACGCAGCAAAAGCCTTCTGTAGCCCTATTGGTGCTCAAGCTCCGCACTGTGCCTTGCTATCCAATAGTACAATCGGACAAATACGAGCAAGAATCCACCAGGCACCCCTCTGGACCAATTAGAAACTTTGAAGGGACTTACCGAAGAGTGAGAGGATACCGCACACTGTCCAGACAGTCAAGGACATGCCAACACTGCCCGTGTTCTTCAGGATGCCTTTGGGAGAGATGAAGATGCCAGCTCCGATGATAGTGCCAATTATGATGGATATCCCCCTCAAAAGTGTCACCTTCTTCTTCAGCACGACTTTTCCCTTCTGGGCTGGCTGTCCGCTCTCCATAGAGGGCAACCTGCCATTAGCTTGCCCCTGCAAGTAGCCCCCATTAGAGACAGAGGTTACAGCAGCTTTCCTAAACATGCTACAGTGGCACCGGCACACCAAGGGCGAGCGCAGGCTGAAAAGTTTGCAGCAGAAACTCAAGGTTGTTGTGTTGGTTGTTTGTTTTTTTTTTTCCCCTCTCTCCGTAGCCAGCTACTCAGTCTCTGCCCTCTCTTATCTTTCCAGCTGCTCCTCCGCACAGGTAGCGAGCTCCTGAAGCGTACCGGAGCCTTTGCTGCGACCCGAGCCGCGCTGGGGAACACCTGCGCTTTCACACTGCGAGCTGGTACTGCCCTATCATTGGAAACCAGCTCAGCTTCCGCGTGGACTTCTATTTAAGCTCTTGTCAAACCAAGTTACCCCAGCTGAATGATGATGCAAATTCTCCAGGTTTGCATCAGCCATTTGAGAAACTCTGGCATTACTCAGCATTTCTCTTTTTTTTTTTTTTTTTTTCCCCTTTTTAAACAGTAGGGGCATGTTGCACAACCAACCTGAGGGTGGTGGAAAGAACAAAGCACTCGCAAGTAAACCGAGCCAATCAAGCCAAGCACATCACCCGAGACACGCTCCCAAATTTTTTATTTTTTTTTTTTAAAGCAACTCAGAGCCAGAAACAAAAGCCTGCCCAAACACAAAGCTCATGAGAGCGCAAGGGGAAAAGAAATCAAACAGGCTACGTCACCCCTGGGTCTAATCCAACTCCTTTCTGGAAAAACTCCTCATAACGAAAGTTAACTTCGCAGGGCTTAACTTCTTGTGTCACAGCTGATCAGCCCCTCTCACATCTACGCTACTCACCTGGAAACCTCTATAGGGACTTGTGTGGATCTAAAGGATACATACAGCCCCCTTGCTCCCCTGCGTTGCCGGGCAACGCGCCCACATCAGCCTCAGGAGAAGCCGGGGTTATTGCCACAGCGCAGTCATTTTCACACGCACAGCGTGTTTCTGGGACGTCGGTAAGTGCTGCCACCACGACGCTTCCCCTTCGGAAACACCGCGAACGTTTACAGCCGCCTTGCGTGCGCCGTCGGGCAGGAGCAGGAGCGGGGCAACACCCCGGAGCACGGCATCTCCGGCAGCTCGGGAGTCACAAAGGGGTTTGCGCCTTATCGTAGAGCTTCCCTGACCAGATGAACAGGTAATGGGATGCATAAATACTTTCGTTTCACAACCTGGTCATTCAAATTCAAACCTGAGAGACAGAACTGTTGAAAAGAGGAGCTTTCTCATAAAATAGAGAGAAAAAAAAAAATCAATATCCTTCAAGCACTTGTAACTTAATCGAGGGACAGTCTGTGCAATATATGCCAAAGGGGAAAAATCCTTTGTAGCATAACTATTGCAGCTGCTCGTGGCTTCAGATTAGATCAGTGCAAAGAGAAATGATTACTGCAGTTACTGCTTAATTAGAACCTAGGATCGAGGGGAGGGAAAAAAAAAAGAGACAGCAGTTAAAACATTTTATCATTTGAAAAGCAGGCGCTGAGCTCAGAGCACTACTGTGCTTTCACGTTTATGTGAGAAAGAGGAGAACCCGGAGTATTGACACACTGCAGCTGTAAAACTTGAGTGCTTTTAAAGCCCCGTATTTTCAGTTATAACTCACTGGTGATAATTTGCACTGAGATAAAAGAAAGCATTAAAAAAAAGCTTATTTGGTCGAAACACATGCAGGTTAAAACCAAAGCGACCGTAGCTTTTGACTACGCGCTGGTAGCTCTCTGTTTTCTGAAGACCTCCTCCTTCTCCCTCCACCTGCTGATGCGCACAGCAGCTCATCCCTCACGTCTCCGCGCACCTCACGCTCTCATCGGTCGCCGCACCACGTGCCCGACCTTTCAGGGAAGCCGTTGCCCCTCCACCACGTGCCATAGGTGACGGCGCAGACCGACCACGGGCAGGACCTCCTCTGGTCACTGCAAGGTCCAAGCCAATTTTCACGGCGCCGGTGACATGCAAAGCCATGAGTACGTGGTGTGCTGTGCAGGGCTGTTTTCCCCCCGATGTACATTTCATGGGCTGCCCTCCCCCCAGTAAGATTATAAATGCCTGAAGGGAGTAACTAGATAAATCAAACCAGGAAAAAAGCATGAACCACAGAAGAGGGTTAGGCTGATGACCTTCCTTTTAATTTTCAAAGGCTGCTTAATGAAGAAACACATGACATCTTAAAACATCTACTACTTTAAGGTAATCATTCTTAACTAATGCTTACCCTTTGTTTACACAGGAAGATGGTTCCAAGATCAAACCAAAAGCCCAGTAACCTCCCAGATGATCCTGAGGCAGCTCCCAGCAATCCAGCTGTCTGCATCAGCTATTCAGCAAAAACACTGGACAGTATAATGGCTTTCAAATTTCATTTGACCACTAGCCAGAAGAACACATTTGCCCGTTGGACATAACTATTAACGCTCTCCCACGCAGGAAAAAAGGGTGCTTGCTTCTTCTGCGGTACAGGGATAACACGCATGCAAAGTTTCGGACCGTGTGAAATTCCCAGGGAAATTTCTAAGGAGGGAACTAAGGGAGGCTGGATACAGAAAACTCTTTTTCTTAAATACTGGCAGCTTGCTAGTGATCGCGTTATTTGCAGCCTTCCCAGCCAGTACTGTTGTGTACCCTGCTTCTCAATGCTATCCATTAAAATAAACAAAAATAAGGAGTGCTTTTTCTCCTTTAAGTTCAAGCTTTACTTCCAATTATCACTTCCACCCAGCATAGAGAATGCATCTTTGGTGTTGGGGGATCATTTGATATATTCTGGAAATTTCATCAGAACTCACCTGAGCTCAGTTCTGAGGAGGGCACAAAGCTGGAAAGGCCCATTACTGTCTGCTGTCCCCCGTTATACTCACAAAATCTGTTCCCATTATTTGCAGCCCACCAGCCACTTTCATTTGAATTATTCATCACAGAGGAAGGACTGTGGTATCACTATGCAACACACAATGCTCAGTGCCTTTTCACAGACCTCTCTTGAAAGCACAAGACTTAAGCTCCAACACTAAGAACAGCCCTGTTCATCCATAAAATCCACTCTGAAAACAACAAAAAAATATAAGATACAATTTTCTTTAGACAGATGAAATTATTTGAAGCAACGTTTCTAAAAATGATGCTCTGAAAACAAACCTTCAGCCTCTAATGGCAGCTGGCATTGTGCACGGCCTTTTATTGTTTCTCTCTGGTTGGTTTCATTTTCCCCCAATTCATAGACATTTTCTCCTGAACAAACATTTTAAAGCAAGAGAGATCATCACTATGAGATGGTTTCCTTTTGAATCTCACCATCAGCCCTCAACTACCTGTCCACTGTCTGTTTCAAACAGAAATCCTCATCGGCCAAGCCCGCGAGTCCTCCTACACTTACACCCTGCAAAGAGCCAAACCACCAGCCGAAGGAGTCAGCTCCCTATGTTGGCTGGCTGCTGCCATCGGTGGGCTCTGGCGACCAGGACTTTTCACAGTGTGCATAGAACAATCTTTCTGGCAGCTGCACTGCACTACTCCAGCAAATGAAATACTCAAGCACCATGGGGAATAAGGATGCTACAGCGTAGTATCTACTGAACATGCCTGATACGAGGCCACCCGTTTTTCACACTAGTAGAGATTATGCCAAATACCTGGACACAGCTGTATCTCCAATTCTAAAGAAGCTACAATTTCAAGATTTCCCCTAGGGAACACTGTGAAACACACACACAGAGCATTCCCCTTTATGGGAGCTCTACAACACACACAGAGCAAAGTGAAGGACCTAAAATTCAAGCCTGGACTTGAGTTTCCACTTCCCAAGCCCACAAAAACTCCTTAATTTGTAGGTGTAGCGAGCATACCTTGACAATCCTTCCAGGCATTTGTATATCAGCTTATTGCATCGAGCAAGTCCAAAGAGTCACAAGTCAAGCCTCCAGGCCACGCACTGCCACGCTGACTGGAGACGTGGGAATAAAAAAGGAAGTATATCAAGACTGAAGAGGCGAGGAAAGCCTCAAACTCTTTTGTGTGGGTGGCATGGCATGAAAAAGTTGTTTAGAAAACAGAGCTGCGTCTTCTCCGTATAATGCCGAGCTGTTTGTGAGCCTCGGAAAGCAACCCTGTAGGAAGGCGGTAGTCTGGTTTCAAATGTCAAAGGAGGGCAAAATACCTAAAAGTATTTGTTTCATGTAGATAATCTAGCATTGAAAATTTTGACCGGGGATTTTCTGGTCCTTTTTGTAGTGTTGAGAAAGTTTAAGTAGCATTGAGGTGAGGGGGGGGGAACTCTGTAAGGAATTTAAGAAATAAGGTGTCATTGGGAATTAGGTGAGAATAGTATTATCATGAAGAATACAAAAACCTCAGGAGGTTGCGACAGGTTTTTAAGTTATAATGCAAATCTAGAACTGCGAGGAGACTAAACCAATTTGTTATTGTCTCTACTACAGGTCAAAGCTTTAGCTAAAAATGGAATTACTGAGAATGTTGGAGGGAGTGTTATTTTGCTGTCAGAGGCTCACAAATTACTTGCTTAATTATTTTGCATTCCACTTTGTGCCAGATATAAAGAAGATATTTAGAAGATAAACAAAAAGCAAGAAGGAATGAAATACACATCCAGCTCAGAGGCTTTAAAAATAAGAAAAAATCCTACAAGAAATCCAAAAGTAATTCAAATATTCTTTCTTATATTTTCAGTAAAAAGCTTCCAACAAAATGCCTATGCAGTCAGCAAATAGAAATCCAGTTCCAGGAAGACTGCAGACGATAATAGTTTAGAAGGCAAACACTTCTGAAAGTTTCCCTGTCTCCAATTTGCTGGTAGCTGCCAGGCAATTTTCAGCCTGGAAAAGAAAAACAAAGTGTTTTCAGAAATCCCTTGTATTTTTCTCACTATTAAAGCTTTATTTCAAAAAGCATAATGATTTCAGCTGAGCTGTTTGACTTTTTAATGATTTTTTTAAGTGGACAAGAATCATTAGCACCTGGTACCAAGCAGGAAAGCTCCACACGAGAGAAAGCCAACTCTTACTGAAGCCCTGCGTAAG